GTTATATGACTGGGCGTGGCTGAGCAGGTCTGTTATGGGAAAATAAATATTATGGAAGGTCTAACTTTGTTATCTTTATCTCGCCTGGATCAATGTGTGTATTATTGGACAGGATACATTACACAAACACGTAGGCACGCAGGCAATGTGCACACATCCAGAGCCAAGTTGTATATACAATATGCAAACATGCACACACATAAGGAACACATAAAGGTGAAATACACATGCAGCAGCAGAGATATCCACCAATACACACAAGCAATCCATATCTGCTTTACAGCACACCATCCCCCACACTCTCTATGCTTTGGTTATGTCTGTCTGTATGTATGTGTGTGTGTTAATCTGTGTGTATGTGTGTGCCTGCCAGCGAGTCACTGAATGCTCTAATGACCACAGTCCTGACACAGGTATTTTGACTGCTGCCTCTTTCCATCGGCACATTGACTGACATGCGATTAGTTACGCTGGGGTGGAAAACTAGGGAGGCGCACACTGTAACCATGAAAAGAGACTAGGAAGACGGTTAAGTCCTTTTCTCTCCTGCCTCATCTTTCTTTAAATCTAAAACATCCCTGGCTGCAGTTACTGGTTGTGTGATTTGGTATTCAGTACGTACAGTAAAGCACAGCTGGGCTCACTGCGACCTTATGAGAAAAGCCTATTGTGTAGATCAATGCAGGTTAGCAGCACTGTAGTACAGAATGCAAAGTAACTGTTGTAGTAAGAATACAGAATTGGCACAATTCTGTAAAAAGGAATGCATTGCCCCATTATTGACCTTAGTAAGTGGATCGTGCATTGGCCAGACTTAAATGATCTACATTAAATCCCGTTTATTTGTTAGTGTCTTCATAAAATTCACTTACTCACTTATCCTAAGGAGTTAAACATTGTGAGGTTATACAGATTGCACATTTGGGAAAAGCAATGATATCCAATCAGTACTCAGTATTGGCAGATACCCAGAGTTTATTGGAATTGCTTCCAGAAGAGAAGTTAAATGGATCGGCGCAACCTATTTGTGAGTTCTAGTTATTAGTTTGGTTTGATTTTATCATAAAACGACATGTAGATAGTTAAGTGTCTTGAATATACAAAACATTTTTATGTGATCAAATTAAACCATTGGGTACAAATAACAGACTCAATAGACAAAGACTCCATCTACCAATTTCAAAATGCAACCTACGCATAAGAAACTGGCAAAACTACAAACACAACACAAAAGCAGAAAAACAGATATTCATAACATATGAACGCAGATAAAATATTCAGTATTAGACACAAACTAGATGAAAAATTGAAGCATGTCACAGGATTAAAACACTACAGTTAAAATGTATTTCCAATGTGACACTCAGTATAATAGATTATATAGATAACAGCAGATCAACATATTGTATCTAGAATAAAGTATAAACTGAGCCAATTACTTTCACTGTCAGTATTAAAAGTAAAAAAAACCTCCTGACTAATAATTTTGAACCACTTTTTTAAAAAGTTTTATGATATATTTTCTTATTCTTTAATGGATGGCTAACATTTTGAGATGCCACTATAGATGTGAGTTCTAGGCTGAAGCTACATTTCTGATATGCTGTGTTCCAGTCAACAGTTGTTCTATAACCTCTATGACTGTGGTGCATTTCCTGCATCAAACTGACATTGGTTTGGCTTTACGCAAACACAAAGCTATTTATAGCATCTCTCCCACTTTATTTTCTCCCTCCCATTCTCTCCCTCTCTATCTCTCTCTCTCTCATGTATTTGCATTTCAGCTATGCAAACAGGAGTGTGGTGTCAAGTGCGTCAGTTGTACAGGCCTTACTTGTCCCTTCTCCTTCTCAAGCCTCAATCCATCTCAAAATTTCTCTCCTTCGTTCCCTCGCTCGACATGACTCCCCTCTCCTCCATCTCACTGTAGCTTTCTACCTCACTCTCACCTTCATCCTCTCCTCCCCCCCCTTCACCCTCTATCCCTCTCTCTCTCTCTGTGTCTGTGTTTTCCTTTGCTCAATTGTTTTGCTGTAGATTTGACCGCTATGATTAATGACCTCAAAGCCTCAGGAAAGCAAACAGAGAGAGAGAGAGCCACGACAAGCTTGCCCTTCCCTTACAAACCTCCCTTTTTCTCATATGTCAACTACTCGTATGTTCACACTGAGCCTGTTATGAGTTTTGGAAAAAGATCCACATAATGAGTCAGATAACACCAGAGAAAGATTTTATATGCACAAAATTGTGTCTGATTTCCACAGATAACAAACTCCACCTGGCAGACAGAACAGATTTCTCATACTACTGCTATAAAGCCCTGTGCATCATTCATTTATTCTTAATGCATTTTTACTGTTGTTTATTTAGCTCATTAAATGAATGTAAACATCATCTCTATATCAGTGCACTGAATGTTCAGTGTTTTACATTATTTCCTAACATTTCAGAGCTTTTGTTGTCTTCCATGTGTGCAGAATCTTAAAAATTAACATTAGAACAAGGATCACAGATGTAATGAACCTCTTGCTAAGAGGTCAGGTTCAAATTAGCCACACATAGAGGAAGGCATTTGGGGTTTGGCTCAAGGACACGCAGCTGGGTGGATGCTTAAATATGGTTAAATTTTAGGCAACAACTTTTATAACCATTATTTAGCTTTTTTTTTTATTACTTATTAATTTTCCATCCGAGACTATTAAACTTGAATTGGCACATGGTAAACTCAGGATCATGCACAGATTTGCCCCCTCCTATATCTGTACTCTAGCTTGAGTTCTGTACACTTAACTGACCAGTTGTTAAGCACAAAGAGGAAGGAAATGATTAGTTTTACCTTTCCCCTCAATTTAGATATTGTTTGTTACTCTAACAACTCTGTCCTCTGTGACTCCTTCACATTGTGCTGCAGAAGCAGACTTCAGTTTGCTCTTTGACATTCTGCATAATTGTTTTTTACTTACCCTGTTTTGCTCATCGAGATCTGGTTTGCAGGTGTGACAATAACCTATTCCAAGACACCATCACATCTAGCACGATGTGATTAGTACAGCATGTAAAATCATTTTCCAGGAGCAATAAAGAAAGTGATTTCATTTTCATTGCAGAATACAATGATTGTTCCTCTAGCAAACTAATAGTGCTATCAGACAGAAATCATTGCACTAGAAGTAACAGTTCCATCAGAGGCTGCATGATAACGTGGAAATGGAATTGGGGCTTCAAATTGAATAATGTTGCAAGGAATTGCCTTTGTACTGCGGTTTGTTTGGTGCTCTTACTGTGTCACGTAAAAAGAGAGAAACTAAATGCAACACTTTTGGAGAGGAATCTGACTGTAATTTAAATGGAAAATATTCAAAAACATAAATCCCCAAAAGGGTTTATATTGAACAACTCCACGACTCCAGTACAGTAAATTTAGTCCCAGGAAAATATGGCTCATTACACTTGAAACATGGCTATAAAAATGATTGTGGCCCATTTCTGGTCCCTGCCCACAGCTTGAGAAACACCCCTAGTAAGTAAGAACATATCCATCCCGTTACTTGACCTTACAGTAGCAGCGGTAATTCATCTCAGCCACTACTAGCTGTCTTGAGGTGTGTTTTGTTTCCTCATAAATGGCTGGTGCCAAAGAGTGTCAGACAGAGAAGCAGGGAAGGCCTCTGGGAGTATGTGTGTGTGTGTGGTGTGTTGTGGTGTGGTGTGTGTGTATGCATGTTTATATGCCTGTGTGTTTCAAGCTGCGGCCTCTGGCTGTGACCCCAGTGTTAATCACACTATAGCCAGAACAACCACAGGCTCTATCGCCACTACTGCTGCTACTAACCCTCCTCCTCTCTGACTCCATTTGTCCTTCATTCATGCTCTCTGTCTTTACTCTGTCTTTATTTCTGTCTCTCTATTCTTCTATACTTACAGTCTCTTTCCTTCTGTACCTCCCACTTGTACATGATCTCTACCCAGTGCTTTACCATTAGCTCAGGGATACACCTTCGTCTTTCTCATCCCCATAACCTCAAACCGTCACCTTTCCTCTAGCCTAAGCCTCCCCTTTAGGCTTCTTGAGCTCGGTGTTTCTGAGTTCTGAATAAGCGGGGTTGCCCTGTCCTCATTTCTCTGGCAAAGTGCAAAAGCACCAAAGGCTGTTCTCACTTCTTGAGTCTGTGTGGTTTTGATCACCAGCTCGGCGACTGGTCAGCAGGGTTGCTAAACGTGTTAATTTGTAATTGGTTGGCAATGTTCAGCGTTGATATCTATTTTGATTTATGGTCATTACAATGTTTTATTCACCACCTCCATTTTTTTTAGAGGTATTGTAAACCACGGCACAAATGACTTCAATCAGAGCAAAGAGCACAAACCTCCTACAGGTTTACAAAAGATGTCAGTTTAACAGAAATCATCTTGAACACTTCTCTTTGAGTCTGACCAAAAGTAAACACAGAAAGTAGGTCCCTGGAAATTCCTGTAGCTGTTCTAGCAAACTAAATGGCACAGTAAATCAATTTCTGGGTCACCTCCTGGCTGACTTACCTGTCATATGTCGCTTGATTATGTAAATGTCGCCTTTGATTTGATTTGACTGGCAAACTTGCTGGATGACTAACTAGATGCCCGTTGGTGAAAGTGTTGTGCGCTTAGTGTTATGATTATCACTCTGTTGTCCCTTTGTCGCCTTGTGACACCCGTGGAATCGCAGCACTGAGGTGTGTGCACACTTAGACACACAGACCCAGGCTGTAGGCAAGCTGAGACGAAGAGTGCGAGTTACACAAGCTTTGACAGGGCCTAATTATACGTGTCTCTAATGAACTGTAATTACTGACATCCACCAGAGCATCGAGGTCTATAAGCCTAGGACTCGCAGTCATTAGGCTGCTGTGTTACAGTGTTTCTGTATCTCCAGTGACTGACTGAAAATCTCTGTTTTCTGTCCCTGTTGTGATTTGTTGGTCTCTGCCTAACTGTTTTCTCATTTCTCTCGCTCTCTACAGTTTGATGGTGACAACATGTACATGAATGAAAACAACCATGAGTTCCTCCAGCCAAACCAGGTGAGTTCAAATTGCCCCTAATGGAATACCTGCTCTTTTCCTCTCATTTCATCTGTTCCCTGTGATTGTTGCCTGAGTTGTTGCAGAGCAATTTTCCTCCCACCATTGTTCAAGCTTGTTAGGATGGACGACAAATTGTTGTTACTGAAACAACCACCTAGTTGTATGACATAAGCTGAAAGCAAAGGGACTGAACTCTTTTCCAATCTATTCCAATTAGTTCACCCTTGTTTTACGCTGACAGATATAGCAACATAAGATATTTTGCAGTGTATTGTGCACTGTATAGGTGTAATATTCACACAAGATTGTTAAGTGTAGCCGTTACACACCTGGGATTTAACGAATAGGCAACACAGAAATGTTAAATACTCGCCTGTGAATATGTCACGTCAAAAGTATTTATACTGGCAGCGATGCAAATTTGCGACACAGTAAAATAAAAATTTAAATCCACACACACTTACTGCAGACAGGGACTGGAAGAAAAATGGCAGTAGCTTGCAGAGCTCTCAGGGGTCACAGTACAGCATCGAATGGTGCATGGATAAAAAGGTCGCATTCACCGAGTTCATCTCAGCTGCCTGACCTGGAGCTCCAGTCTTGTATGGTATGTGAAGATGTATTCATACGTTAAAACACCGAAGTTACACAAGTAGACCAGCAACTCAACGTGTTCTACAAGGTAAAATTACTGTTTTTGTGGTCTTTGAAGAGAGCACAGATGGTTAACGGCTTCAGTTCCCCATCTGTAAATGTTTCATTTTTGGGTCCTTTGTCAGGGTGATAAAAACAAACAATCAAAGTTTGCCATGAGTTGTGATGTGATGTCTGTTCCGCACAATGAGATTGGTTGATGCATTTATGGGCTCCATGAAAGATCAGAAAAATCGACCTAAATCAGAATTTTCTTTTTGCTTTTTTTCTGTTTAATATTCGTGTTCTGTGTGAAAG